GGGGGGGGGGCGCCCCCCCCCCCCCCCATGCCCCCCACCCCCGGAAGCTACGGCCCTGCAGAGGCCTAGTAGAAATAATAGTCATGTTTCTGATTTTCGTTTAATTTTATAAGGAGACAAAACGCATCATCGCTATGTTCGTTTATATTTTCGACAGTTAGATGGTCCATTGATATCAACGCTAAACTGCTTTTGTTTATTTTTGTTTTCATTGTTTGATTGAATAAAAATTCAAAGATACTTTTTAAAAACTTTCATTATGCTTTTTGTCCCATAGATGGCTTTGTTAAGCCATTTATCCCTTATCCATATACTTATGCAGTATGCTCCTAAATCCTGTAAGGTTTTATTTACCTTTTTCTAATTTCAGTTATGTGGTGACTTTCAGATGCATTTTTGTGACAATTTACATAGTGGTTTTTTAATGTTTTACGAGACACTTCAAAATTATTCAAATCAACTTACAGTTGGGGTCAATTAAGGGTTTAACATCAATAAACCATTGAATACATAGCTATTGCAGGACGCCATTCCACGTTTAAATGTGAAAGTGCTCTCTCTAAACTCCTTATCAGTAAATGTCACTATATTTATATTGAACAATTATTATGTTACAGGACATCTGTGGGGACGAAAGCGACCAATGCTCAACGCCAACGTTATCAATCTTCAATATTGATTTCCCTTTGAAAATGACACTCACTGCCGATGGTCCTCTTAATATTTCGCACGTTCTTGGAGTTTGTCGGGTTTGGAAAGGCCGTTTTTTTGATCTGTTCACAATATCGCCTACCCCTACCCTCTCTGCCATACTGAGTACGAGATGGATGTTCTTGGATCCCCGTTACAGCAAATGTGCCGAGATATCATCTAATGACACTGGCGAAGAATGGCACAATTCTAGCGTTCTAGCAGTACTCACCTGTCAGGTGAGACTGAAGGAAGAGTCAAAGAATTATCGAGAAGGCCTTAAAATATTTGAATCTTTTCGAGATGAGCTTGACATAGAGCTGCGTACGAATGCCATGTTTATTTCGTTTGGCAATGTTGATTATCAAATTATGGTTTCGCGCGATGTAATGAATCCCTGCACCAATGTGGAGAAACCTCTTGAATCCAATGTTGAAACAACGACAAAAGATACACATGGAAATTCCATGGTTTCTGGTGGTAATCAATTTTTAATTCAGTGGGCATTCGCAGTGTGTGCTTTTGGTGTCTTTGTGAGCATGGGTGCGTTTGCTCCATGTGGCTGAAAAATTCGCAATTAATTACGCATTGCATCTTTTGGCAGACATGCCCTTTGTCAACGATGACCGAATGACGTGAGTTAGACTCAATGGCCTATTACGTGTAGTTTACTGTGGTTCAGCACTACAATACACTTTGCAATTTGTCATTTAATTTAATAAATGCTACCACGCGTGATGATTTGCCATTAGTGACAAAAGACTGCGCCTTATACATGCGTACATTGAAACAGAAATGGTGACTGGTGATTAGAAAGTGCATTTTTTTAATTTTGTGCACTGAACATTTGAGATATTTGAAACTAATTGCATAAATATCATTGATTTTCTCCTGCCTACTACTTGGTGGAATGTTGGTGTTTGATAATACAAACTCTTGATATCATAAATACACCATAAATACGTACACCAGGTCACCTGACGGTATGATTACTAAGTTTTAGAAAAGTTAGAAAGTCATCATATTTGATGTTATATGTCAAAATACCCTCTGTTGGTGCAAATCGTTACATGAATGGAATGGATTAATAAACCATACAGTCAGAACAAATCATTTTAATCTGTCTTTTTAAGTAACGAAGCGCGGGGATGTCTATTTGTATGTCGCGCGAAGATATGCTGTTTGAATATGAGAAAAAACAACCTGCTGCAACCATACCACAGCTGAAATTTCCATATAACACACTTACTTGACAAAAATTATCCCCAGTAAAATTATGTAAAAACAAAAGCTGTATATTGAATTTTTTAAAACTTTATTAAAATTCTAAAAATCAGAGGACATAATCCAAGAAAAATAAAAGCTGTTGTAAAGGTAAAGCTGATTATTTGTTAAAAATCAGATGTCAAATAATTGTATCATTTACCTGTATCAAATATGAATTAAAAACTATTAATACCAACAGATTATTAATTAAGATGGAATGTGGTTCTGTCCAATGAGTTGCAAGCACAAAACAAAAGTATACCCACATCTTCATATCACTTAATCACTTCTTATGAACAAAAAATGGAAGAAAAAAAACTGCAATGGCATCTTCAACAGCTATACTGTTGGTGTACAGTTGGCCAGTTTCACTATAACATTCCATGCACATGTAAACTACAAGTAGTAACCAAACACATCTTTAATGAAAATATAGTATTGCTTGATATTTCTCAAGAATGAAAACAATGAATTTACAACATCCGGCTCCCAGATGTTCTCTTAAACGTGCATAACTTTTCAGTGCATAAGTATTTTAAGTGTAAAGCTTTAAGAGAAAAATTTCCGGGTGGGGCTTTTTCATATTGGCACTAAGTTCCAGTCAAAACCTACTCACAGATAAATCACAGTCACCTTCATAACAATATAAAAATAGTGTTGTTTGCTGCTTAAAACCACTGTTGGAGTATCTCATTAAGGTTCTATGATACGAGTAACTAACAATAACGACATTTTTATCAACCACAGAACAATTTGCCTTTCCAAAACCTGCTGGCTTTTGAATCTTTTAAATTTGTATCAAAGTCAGTATTGATACTTTCTTGGTACTTTTAAGGTATACCATGACAGAAAATATTCATATATTCAGCAACCAAATGCGTACCCTTTTCTGTGTTGACAAAAAGCTCTTTTCATCATATTTATAAACTATCTCATTCACTGCAATATCAAATTTAAATCAGCTCTAAATTATTAGAAAAAAAACAGCAACCATGTATCTTATATACATTTGAACTTTGTATGTAGGATTTGATGTCACAATATCAACTGCACTACCCTCTACCAGGGCCACAGATTGATTTTTCACAAGATATTCACAGGTAATCTCTCTGGCTAAATATGGTCAATCTTTTAACTGCTCTGATTTTAATCACTTGTTATATTGTGACAGATAGATACAGCCCCTTATGAATAGGTTGTTACTTCAGATTGAAGTTAACTGAGGAATCTCCTACAGTAACTACCTACAGAGTGCTTCCATCTGGTCAAAAGTTACAGGGTGGAAAATGTGCCTATAATATCTGCCACCCTGGTAGAGGGTACAGCTGCAAATTGACCCTTGAAGATGTCACAAACTTTCGTTTCCCCAACAAATACACAATTTTGTGTACAACAGATAGTTTTCACAATTACTGATAAATTGCATATCACTAAGTGCTGTCCATTATACTAGGCTTGTTTTAAAAAGTATTGCTACTTCAAAAATTAACCTTGGTACAAAGTTTTCAACTAAGATTCTTGAGAAATTTTCACATTATACTTGCCATCATAACTTTATCAGTTTTATTCTCACAAAATTAAATGAGAAAATATTTCTTTCTGTCTAAAAAGCTGCCATTATGTAGTGAAAGGTAAAACAATGCTCACTTCAGCACTCGAACAAAATTGTTTCGATTAACACTAAATATTTACATATATTAACACACTCTTAAATACTAAAAGAAAAAAGAATTAGAAAATCCTTTCAAACTGATGATCCTGTACACCAGGGTTGGGTTTGTTACCAACAGGGCGTGGTTGGTGTGCCCCTCTCCTCCTAGGGGGCGCCAAGTACTCAAACATGGATATGGTATGCTGGGATAGCATCTTTGCCAAATCTGTGGGTCTGGGATCAGTCCAGAAGAAATCATGGTCCAAAGCCTTGTCACAATCTAGTCTCTTAGAAGGGTCCAGTGTTAGCAGTTTGTCTAAAAGATCTAGTGCATGCTGGTCTTTGATGTAGACTTTAAGACGATCTTTGACTTTTCTTTTCTGATCTTTGGGAAGGTCTAGCTTGTGGTATAATTCATACTTGTCCACTCCGGCCCACACAAATGGAGTGATAGACCCACACAGTAGTGTGATCAGCTGTAGTTGGCGTTGCTCAGTGTCCCCTTGCATTATGGGACTTCTCGTCCACATTTCAGCCATGATACACCCCGCACCCCACACGTCAATGGCTGGCCCATAATCCCTTTCACCTAGAAGAAGTTCTGGAGGGCGATACCAAAGGGTCACAACTCGGTTTGTATACCTGCATGGTTGGCCTTTACTGTTCATGCTGAAAGCTCTTGCAAGTCCAAAATCGGCTAATTTCAACTTTCCCGATTTTGTTATCAGAATATTAGCTGCTTTCATGTCTCTATGAAGCACTTTGTTACTGTGGATGTAATATAATCCATTGAGCAGTTGCTGCATAACTTTCTTGATTTCTCCCAGGGTGAATTTTACATTTGAGTTACTTAGTAGTCCTGCTAAGTCATGTTCACAGAATTCAGAGACAAGATAGAATGTACTCTTAAATCGGTTATATGGTGTGGCTGAAAGATTGAAGATAAAAAACGGATTTATAATTCTATAAGAAGATAAATAAATACAGTGCAAAATATTTCCCCATACTATATTCTAATGCATTACAAATCATTTCCATTAAAAAGTCAACTTCTTATCTTTGGATACCTTTCTCTTTCATATTAACAATATAGATTTATCTATCATGTTAATATGAACATTATAATTATAATTATTACCATCTATGTTACCTTTACTTCTGCAAATCTCTATCAGATGCATCACATTTTCATGATTCAGAAGTTGGAGAATCTTTATCTCTCTTAAAGCTGTGATGGGAAACTGCAATTAACAAGAAACCCATGATATATGTATATATCGCAAAGCTTATGGAGAAAAAGCATGACAATATCAAGCAAAATGCATACAAACATATCTGTCTAATATAAATCAGTAAACGTTGAATGCTTACACTTATAAGCACCATCAATACTCACAAATTAATGTATAATTTTTTGAAAAAAAAGAATAAATAAAAGGCATATATGAGGAAACAATATGGCACATGAATTAAACCAATACAATACTGTAACAATATCATCAAGTACTGTTGATACTGGGTAACTGGGGGCGGGAAGAATTCATACCCCTTCTTTTTCATTTTCCATCAAGACTTTCTTGAGTGCAACCAATCTTTTGGTTTTCCTATCTCGGGCTTTGAAGACCTCTCTGAAAACATATATCAACAACACTGTTCATAAAAGCATAATTCAAAAAGGTAAATCATTTAAGTTAAACCATAAAGTAAAGAGTTCCAGCAAACTCCTTTCATAAAGTAAACTGATTGGTGTCCTCATAGCAGATATACTCATTCTTTTTAGTCTATGTATGGGAGTGAACGATATATTCAAAGAATTACAGATCATTTTGTAAATACCAACAATAACAGCAAACATTTATGTGACAGTAACATTGAAAACGCGCGGTGGTTTGCATGTTTGAACGTCACTTAGCCCTTGGACCTAAATTTAGGTCCAAGCTTAGCCCAAGGCATATTTACCCGAAGGTTCCCTGGCCAATCTTCGTCAACTTTTCATACTTGTTGACATCCTGGCAATACGGGAACACGATGTCTTCCACCTTGCTCATAGTTTACACATTAAAACGGATGTGGAACTTCACAGGATTAACCGTACAGAACTACCTAACTGTTTCTCATTGCTCTGCGCTGCACTTCAAACATCCGGCGGGGCAACGCAGATTTTGCTGACGCAGCGGATGTGACGTATTACACAACGCACCTGCGAGAAGCCTCTGAGACTGATAGAATTTTGTGATTTAAACTTAATTTTAAAACGAACAAGCACACCTATAGACATGCCGAAGGTCGTATCCCGTAGTGTTGTTTGCACAGATACTAAGGATCAGGAGGAATACCAGGGAGAAAAGCCACTGAATGTATATTACTGTTTGTGCGGACAGATGAGCCTGATCCTTGGTGAGTCTAGTGCCTCTCGAAGACTCGAAGTTGACTCAGTTTTCTGTTTTCTGCTTTGACCACATAGCCCATAGTGTATAAATAAAATTAGGACCATAACGTGACGTTTGTAATGGATTTTTTTTTTCAATTTTAATAATGGTTGTATTCGGCCCAAGATTGATGAAAACCTATAAGGCATTTCCTTATTTAGGCTTGCAACAATAATTATGAACATTACATTTTAAAGCTATTTTTGTCATTTGGTCTGTTCATAAAATTAATAATTATTTATATATAATAAATGATGCAGATTCCCAAATTTTCTTACCCAACCCCTCATGAATGCACAATTTTACTGAGCACTTTAAGTATTTTATGATTCAAGGTAAACAAACTGATTCACTTATATTTTCTTTGAGTAATGGTAAAGTATTAGCTCCAAACTTTCTGTAGCCATAACCCACTTTCATGACGAAGTAACTGATTCGCATAATTTCATCAGGAGTGCCAAGTTCAAACTATACATGAGCAATTTGAAAGTTTGCTTTTCTGATTCACTGAAGTACTTTTGATATCATGCTAATTGTCATATTACCTGACATTTGTAAGCAAATTACATTTCATTAGACTGTCCTGTAGAGAAACTTCCACTAAGAAGAAGGGATAATGCAAGGGTAATAGATGGCCACAAGCATGCCCACAAGCTGACCTGTGATAATGACGAGGTGATTCATTTGAAGAGGTAAATGAATCTGAGTTACATTCCTTATAAGCTTGTGGTCTCTTTGAAATACACACAGAATAAAAAGAGAGCAGTAAATGGAGATTATGATTTTAATCTTTAGCACGAAAATTCATGCGTTAGCACTCCTATTGACGATTCTGATATGTACTGTCTGTGTTAGCACAGAGAGTATATGTCAGAATCGTCAATAGGAGTGCTAACGCATGAATTTTCGTGCTATTTAATCTTATGATGTCTCTAGTCTTCTTTGACTGTCTCACCACACAAAGAAGTGTCTTAGTTGCAGATTGTGGTTTAACGTTCAAGGTATTGTTTAACTGCTACACAGTAATGCTGGTATCTGAATTTAATAAAAGCAATATTTATTTTCAGACCTGAGGGTATTGAAAGACAATATAGAAAAAAATGTAAAAGGTAAGAAAGCAATTTTGGATATTTTTCACTTAAATTTTTTTTAAATACTTTATGATGCAATTGGGTATTTTAAAGAATTTAAGAAATACGTTTTTGATTCCGATTTCAAGGAATATTCTTTATTCCACAGACAGAGACTTTGACTATGGGGAATTTTCAAACACAGAGTATATCTTTAAGAGAGCAGGTCTATGATACAGTCCGTTCTTTCTTTCTCTTCCCAGTGATGCCAAGACAGACGTTAAAATAATTCATAAATTTTATGCTTTAATTAAACTTTCGGGATCCTAATCATCTTTCAATAAAAGTTAGCTAGGTTTGATCATTGCAGACGTTCATGTCAAAACTGCATGTATCTAGTGGTGTTATTTCTGTTAATTTGAAGGTGCGGCCTATGGATCTTCTATCAGCACACAGAGAAAGGCAGTAATGTCACCTTCATAGTAGACGGTGCATTAAAGAAAGAAGTGGAGGGAATCAAGGCAGATGTTTACAGTCAGATAACACAGCCAAAGAAGGTATGCAAGATTGATTGATTGAATCAGATAGATTTTTGAATTTGTTTTTAAATATTGTTTATAATGAATTTAGCTTGCAGTGTTAATTGCCTTAAAAGATGATGCTACTCTGGTTTATTCTACACCTTCAAAGGTTATGCATTGTAAAAAAATCTTGTTTAGAACAATTATAATTGTTTTTGTGCCAGCATGAAATAAGGTTGTTATTCCAAATTATGGGTTAACTTTTGCATCATGCAGTTTTAAACACAGATTTGGAATCTGCTAATTAAGTGTCAGGTCAAGACCTAAGTAAATAAGCAAGAACTATGGGTATCAAACAACTTTAGCGTGGTGTCCACAAGCTTTTTAAAGCTCTGGCAAAGTTAAGGGCCTTACCAAGTCAGAGGTCACCATTTGATGACGTACTGAATTTTGTGTTTATGCCACCTTCTTGTTCTTTTAAGGTCACTCTAACAAAGCACACAAAAAATATGGGTAAATTTAGCTCTGTCACTGTGTCCACAGTAGATGAGGAGGAAGAAGAAATAGAGGCAGTAAGTAGGATGTTTTTTTATTGACAGAATTCAGTGAATGAAGGGTTTTAATATGAAAGAAAAATAATTAAATAGTCACAAGTATTTAAATAGATACTAAAAAGAGATGAAAAATCCTCTATTTTGTTTTAAATTATGTAAATATCTGGTCCAACACAATGACATTAAAGTATCTGAAGTGGTGTAAATACAGTGTCATAATCCTTAATATAACATACTTGACAATTTACTATTCCATGTGCCAAGATAAATGATCAAATATGCCTACTTACATGTTTTTTCTTCTGTTTTTCAGAAAGAAATAGCAGATTCATATGCAGCAAATGCAAAAGTTATTGAAAAACAACTGTTCAGGAAGGGAATGGCAAAGAGGAAGTTTGCAGAGCAGGTAATTTACTCTATAGACTGCCTTACTTTTTACATGGGTGTGTGTTTGTATTAATCAAAATAATTCAACTCTTTTTATAAATTTATTAATTGAAATACTTTTTTATATCATTCGGGGGAGAAAATAAACTCCAATTTTTGAATCTTTATTTTCTGAAATATACATTGTATTATATTGAAGTTTGTACTTTGAATTTCAATTACTGAAAGTAAGAAGTAATTGTTTTGATAGTTCTGAGTAATTTTTAAAGTGCATGATGTGGAAAATTTTAACACCAGATTATACATGTTATATGTGATCAGATATTTTGTATAATGTAATGATAAGATGTTACTCACAGTTAGTAGGTTCTTTAAGACTTACACAATGATGTACTTGTCCAATTTTAGACTGACGAAGCAATGAAGAAACGTGTCAAAGGAACGCTTATAGACAAGTGATGAGATCATGCTGACTGAGAATTTCCAGTTATCAAGCTGGACCAGAAAAGAGGTTGTGATCTGTTCAAGCCAGTTCACTGCTGTCTGGTCAATATGTGTGAAAATATGTGATTAAGAGGATGATGGAACAGGCAACTTGACTACTGTATACTGAGTGCCATCTATGGTTGTCTTTTAGAAAAAATGTCCATGTAATTTTTTTACATATGCACTTTTAAGATACATAAAAAAGATGGATTTTTGTATTTGGCTTTGAAAATGAAGATTAAGTGGTAAAAGTGTTGAATTTTTAGAAATATAAGACTGTCTGTAAAATTGAACAGTTGCACTAGAGCATAGCTGTGTAAATGGTGACCATAAACAAAAGCAAGCATATTGGGAAGTGTCCTGTGTTAAAATGAATTATTCCTGCAGTTTCTTTTTTGAGAATAAAGCCAAATTATCAGTCCTAAATGTGTGTTACAGCATATAAGTAACATTACATAACTTATACTGAAAATGGAAAACAGAATGTAGCTGAAAATCAGCAATCAAACTTTCTTAAATGCCCATTCTGCTTACCTTTAATTTTGACACCTCAACAGTTGTCTGTATTGTCAAGATCTGATTCAAATGTGTTTTACAGTGTATAAGTAACACTTTAACTTTGTACAATTTGATAAAAAGATTATTTTAATATGTTAAAACATATGAAATTGTATGAATAAATCAGTAAAATGAAAATGTATATAAAATCACTGAAATGTATTTGAATTTTACTTTGTATTTAAACTAAGCATGAGTGTCACATCAGAAATGGATAATGAAAGTGCCACCTGCCACAGATTGCCCTGGTCAATATCCTGTGTCAGTTAGAATTACATATCTTAAGGTAAGATCTAAATACTTTTTGGGTGGAATGAGAAATGAAAAATTGAACAAAATTTCCGTTACCTTCTGAACACCTGGATCCACCTAAAACTGCAATTTTCTTAGTTGATCATACTAAAATGACTAAGTGTATTATTTTGTTTTATGTAAAGAAGATGTTGAATGAAAATAAACTCATTTCATTACAGTTATCTCTTATTTACATTTTGGCATTTTCAAGGTGTGACGTTGAATTTCCATGGGCTTGAAGACGGTAGTCCTAAATATCCATGTTACATGTAGTGTATTGTTAAAGATTGGTGGTGGCTATGCTGTTAAGCATTATGTAATATTGCATCATTATTATTATTATTATTATTATTATTTGGACTAGCAAGTCAATTCAGTATGATTTGTATGCAATTAAATAATGCAGAAGATAGCCTTCATTTAGCCTCAGCATTATGATATATAGTAATATCAACATATGCTTTTAGATTTATAGCAAATTGTCAAAATTTGATGAATTTTTCATTTATCTGTGTTGTTTGAAGACATGTCAAACCACACCTATTCAAAGATGTTACTACTGGTTATTTCATTAGATCTTGTAGCAGTATAAGTAGTGGTAGGGGTAAAACACGGCTGTTCAACTTAACTCTTAAGTTAATCTTGAAGCTGCCCTTTTACTCCCTATATAAGCATACTAAATAACAGGATGCTACACAGGAAGAGTCCTCAGTTATTTCCAATTTCTAATTGTAATTTTGTGACTCTCTTACATAAGAGGTTGTACCAGGCTTAGTGCACCAAAGGAAATGATGGGAAACTGGAAATATAGTGATCACAATTCACGAGAAATAAAATCATTAATTCACAAATCACAGCAAATAAAACTTATTATAATCATTCATATCTCACTGAAAATGTGATTTGAAAATCACAAAACTCATGGTATAATTACTTCATTTCATGGATAATGAAAAAATAAGAATAAAAAGTGGCATTCACAAGTCATGGAAATGGAATACTTCACCTATCACATTAGATAATATGTCACTCATCTCGGGGGGAAATAAGTGGCTTTCATAGCCTAGGTAATGAAAATACACAATATGACCTTAATGTTAGGATTAATCTGATCAGGGTATCAGAACTAAGGCCATGATTTTGATGCTATGCCAACTCTAGGTTGATAAATAATATTGCCACTGGATTAGTATGTTTTGTCTCTGATACTGGTGCCCTGATTAGGTGAATTGCTTTCTAATGAATATGATATTATCTTATTAAGTGTAGCAATTTAACGTCACTTGAGGACAAACACTGCAGGCTGCTGACATGTTTTCAGTGAATTAAACAATTCTACATTTTCTTTCTCTTTCAGAGATGTGCTGTCGTAAGGCAAAAAAAAAAAATAAATAAATAAATAAATAATAATAATAATAATAATAATAATAATAATAACTAGAAAAGCACTCAGAGAGCGCAGACATCCGCCAAGGCAGCAAAGTCTCCATCCAACGCCATTTCACCCCTAAATTTTCGATATTTTTTATTATTGATTATTGATTGATTATTGATCACCACCAAAAACTAATCATCTGTTCCTTGGTGCACTTCTGACAGTTCCTAAAAATTTCATCAAAATCGGTCCGTAACTTTTTGAGTTATGTTGATGACAGACAGACAAACAGGGGTGAAAACATAGCCTCCTTGGCGGAGGTAATAATAATATAAAAAGCTGATGCAACCACTTTTCACAGTTAGGATTGTTTATTTTATTTTTATCAAATCAGATTCCAAGTACTTAATTTTCAAATCTTTGCAATTGCATACCTGAATTACCAATTGGATGAGAGTTATTTAGTTACATTTTCAGGGGATAGCAGAACATGAGTAAAGTTTTTGTTGGACAGTTTTTTTTTTATTATTATTATTATTTTTAATCTTATCTCTGAGAAATCTATCCATATACATGTACATTTATTGATAGAACTGTGCATAATATTAATTAAAAGGGTTGAGTAATATTTGACATCAAACAAAGTTGTACATTACAAAAAAGTTATAATAAATAAATAAATGCAATTCAGGTTGATAAGCTCTCCCTATTTGATCCAGTAACATTAAATTATGTGCTGCCCTTGGGTAGGAAACAAGGTTTGTTTCATATGGCCAACAATGAAGAAAATATCAGTCCACAATGTGTTTGCTATCCTAATGTGTTTGCTATAATTATTATGACATCTTTTTAAATTGATATTTTTGATTTTGGATAAAAATGTTTTTTTCTGATTTTAGTTTGATCTAATATTTCTGTTATATTTTCCTTGAATTTACGATCAGTATCTTTCATAGGTCCTCTCTTGACCTTGACCTCAGAGGAAGACCAGATTCCTCTATGCTGAAAGAGTGACTGGCTGTTGAAAATGCGCCCTTTTTGGGCCATTGAATGAAGGAAGTGTTCAATAAGCCAGTCACATGGTTGCTCATCGTAAAATAAGATTAAATATCTTGCCAAATTACCCAAGATGCTTGAATTGAAAAGCTTGCCTATAAATCCAAGAACAGAAAATTCTAAACAAATCCACGTCTTTTCCCTGTTTTTTTGGATAAAAGCACGTATGCCTTTAAAAAAACCATATGATGGTATGACATCATCTTCAATCTGAATGTAGTACTTTGAAATATTCCTCCCGTAGAAAAACATGAAAGCAAAGTCAACATTTTGCTTTGATCGCCATTTTACCGTCGCCTCCGGATCATCGTAATTTCTTTTTAAATTTTCCAATGGTGGGTAATACTTCTCTGGAACTTGCATAACTAATATAAAGCCACTGTTAAGGTAGTCTCCATATTTGATGCTGATATTTTTCAAAGCATTTGCATTATAGTCCTCATCAAAATTAGCCAAAAACACTAAAATGACCATATATTTCTTCTCAACTTGGGAGGTCCTGTTTATAATGTAGCCAATTGTCTCCAAGAGGTACTCGATTCCATTTATTCGTTTGACAGAAGGAATACCAATAGTAAGAAAACCTAAAAGGATTTTACATGTATAGTTAAGAAATGCATGTGCATCCATATGTCATATATCTGCATGACAATGATAATTCAAAGTAGCATTTTAACCCATACTAAGTGGTTAATGTGATGACATTGATAACATCATTATATTATATATTGAAAAGAGATCACAAAGTGCAAGAGAAATTACAGAAATTTCACCAAATTTTGTTGGACCCACAAAACTACCTAATTTACAAATCTGAAGACAAAATGGGAATCATCTGAGATAATCTATGCCTGTCAGCACTGCATAACATCATATGAAAAAAAAACTTGTGAGAATGAGCACAAGGTGAAATGAACTTTTAAGCGTTAATCTGGTGGGGCTATTATTGAATATTATTGAAAACAAAAGTGAAATGCATTTCATGGTGAATTCTTACTTGACTGTTTTGTCATAGACTTAAAGTAACTTCTACTGAACTAGTTCTGAAAAGATCACAACCGATGCAAGAATTTATCTGTTCATATTTTTCTGGTTGTTTTACCAGAAAAATATCCACAGATAAATTCTGTTAGCTTTTATTCATTGCCACACTGCACTCACTTGTCTGTCATTATTTCTGATGCACTTTCCTCCATACCTCCAAATTCTTGCTTTGTTCTATGCCAAGTATCGAGACTTTAGGCTATCTGAGATGATGCCCATTTGAATGTTATGATGTGTCATGTCGGGGCGTCTCGATCATCCGAAGGTTCTTGGGTCAGATGGCTCATTGGTCCGAAAAATCTTTTATACCAATGAATTACTTTATAGCCGGTAAACTAAACACCTTATTCATGCATTAATTTTGACTATCAAACCTTCAAACCAATGAACCTTTGAACTACTGACAGCTACGGCCCCATTACTAGTATGTCAATTTTATCATATTTCTTCACATTCACCTGCCCTCTTTCTTAGTTTTCCTGCAACTTGGACGCCTGATAGGTCAAGAACATCCCACTGCGAATATATCAAGTGCCTGGTGTATTTCTACCATGAAACAAATAGCAAAAGATACTTTTCAATTTGCAGAAACTGAGACATTCAATTTTCAGACAACACTAGCTTAAGGAAGAGCGCTCTGAGTTGAGCATGTAAAATTGGTGTAAACATATATAAACCAGGGGCGTAACCAGACCTTTAAAAATTGTATGCACAGATTTTTAAAATTCCCGGCAAAATGTAGACTAGGCAGAACAATTGTGCATATACAATTGATACAGAGGATTTGTACATACAGGTGACTTTAATTTGGAGAGGATTTTCTTTTATATTCGTGAAAAATACACTAAATTTATATAAAATAATATCATGGATGGCCAAAAAAATTGTACGCACAGTGCATCCGTGCCTATGCCTAGTAACACCCATGTAAACATAAAACATCAAAAATTATATAGTCTGGTGTCGTCTGTTGTGACTCACTTACAATATTTAATTTTCTTTCAAATTTAATGATTTTTTGCTACATTTTTCTCATAATATTTAGATCATGTTTTCCTGTTGATTTCGGAGGATAATTATGCAGACAGAAAATATGACTCTAATTGGGACATTTTGATATTGATAGTATACCTTTATTTGCACTTGCTTAATAGACATTTATAAATTAATACAACTCATTTTATAGTTTTAGCTATACAATTTTAAAACATTGTATTTTTTAATTTCTAAGTTGAGCAAATTGTCTGATAAAATGTGCATCCCAGCAGACAAACGACATTGATTCACCATTGAATCAACGTTAATTTTGGTGGATCAACGTTGAATCAACGTAGAATCAATGTCGTTTGCCTGCTGGGATGAACTATCCAACATGAAAATATCTTAGTTTTTACAGATTTTATCAGAATAACAAAAGTGGGGTACCTGGCCCTTCTTCTTGTCCAGTCAGACATAATTCATATGCAAAAGTTTGCCCACTTATTTTAAGGAAATTGGTGACTGGACAAAATGAAAGATTAAAAATGCATATTAAGTATGTTTAACAACCAATTTACCTCATTTTCTCTTTCCATCTCATGTGTGCTATTAATGAGATCATTTTGATCAGATATGGTGACTGCAGCCTGTATTACTGATCCATCTACAAAAAAAAAATATCAAAGCTTTGTCTCATACAAATCTGTGATAGGAAGATACTAAAAAGATTTATGCAAAGAAATGAAAAAGAATTATGCTTCTTCTTTAAAAGAAAATAATAATATGAGAATGAAATATTGATGCTGCCTTCTTTTACATATCTGTAAACAAAGTAATGAGACAATCACTAATTCTGAGCCAATACAACAAACAGTAGTGGGGAACTTACCTATTGTGCCTGCAATATTATCATTATCCAAGAAATAATGAAAGAAATAGATGCTAAAAAATAAGCCATACAGTAAACACGCACTCATGAACTTCCTGTATGCTCGGTCTTTCCCCATTTCAAAAACCTCTTATGGCATTCAGAGCATATGACAAATTTCCAGTTCTATACCCTCCCTTGTTGTTGTATATAAGGCATCAATTATAGATATATACCTTCATTTTTAATGGTATACCACCATGCGCAGATCCAAGCACACAGAATTTACACATTAGATTATATTAATGCTTCCCTCCTTGATTTTTATATCAGGATCCCCAGTTAACTCTGATATCAATTGGTAATAACTCATTTTTTTCAAAGGGGAAAATTGTCTATCTTTCATGTAGATAATTTTGGAATCATTAAAAGATATATTTCTAAATAGCAGTTGTGGTCTTTTTTACTCTATAAAAAAGGAAAAAATCATTTTCAATTTTGTTACTACCACTCAATGTTTTACTTTTGAGAATTTCTGACTTTGAAAAATATGGCATCTGTAAAAATCACAACTTACCCCATTAAAAAGATTGAATGAGTCATAGTGTATTTTAGCTTAACAAATGTACAAAGAACTTTTGCCCTCAATCCAACTTTTAAAATATTTTCATAAAAAAAATCCATCATTGCAGAGAGATACATGTAGCACTGAGAAAATAAAAATAAAAAAATTAATGAAAATAAAAGTGGCATTGTACAGTATATGTACTGGGGCTGTGTACATCCTCATCACAATGAATGGATTTAACTAGCAACACCCCACACCCAATGTTCCTAAGGTGAGAAATCAGTGTTCACAGCAGATTATCATTCATTGCTTAATCAATCAAAAAAAATTCAATTATGTTGATAATGCCACACGCTAACTACACAAAGTGGAAAAAAGAAATGAAAACAACCATAAATGGTTAATTTTCAAAAATACTAATGATCTCTCTAACCTCAAAACAATATTTTAACAATGAGAGGGCCTCTTAATTTTAAAGAAATCATCAAAATTTTTAATCATTCTCTTTCACTGTAATAGTCTGTTTCACACAAGAAGTAGGAAGCAACAACAAAATAAGGAGGAAAATATTTACTTCAAATCTTTTTCAAAATTATCTTACAAGAAAAAGAAATTGTTAGACCAAAAAGTATCATATATATGGATTCATTAAAATATATATTTCTAACAAGTGAGTAAAACTTACAGGTAAAATTCTTTAAGACTCCATTATAAAAGAGTTCACATTTTTATGAATTCAAGCAATCTCTCAATTTTTGGCGTAGAGTGAAAATAAACTGCGAGAACTTACTAGTACCAGTTGTAACAAAATGTCTCTTTTTTTAATATGTTAAATGTGTTCTTAAAAAATGTCCATAAACAAAACAAGGGACAACAAAGATATCTAAAACATTTTCATGGTATGAAAAAAATCCTGATGTGGACAAAATGGTAAAAAGTATTTTTTTTTTTTCGTCCTGTCTGCCTGGAAACATTTGCACATTCCAGTAGAACTTTAGCACCAAGTTCAACATGCATGCCATGAGTCAAAGCTTCATATTTAAAACATTTATAAGTGGAATATTTATGTTAAATGAAAACTGAACCGCCTCAGTGATGATTAAGAGGCTGCAATTATACACTTGTAGGCACCTACTAGTACTATTTTTCAGAATATTAAAACAAAATTGAACAAATTTGAAATACACAGTATATTGCATGCATTAAGTTACATTCCTGTGCACTTAGTCTAGAATAATGGTGACCCCCATTTCCCCAATAAGTATGATAAAAAAAGGATCAATATCTTTAATCATTATCTTTGAATATGGATATCCCATTGCCTTTGACTTGGCAAGAAAAGCCAATATCCTGTCACATTCATAGTTCTATATGTTGTACTTGTTCATAGCTGTCAATAGGTATTTTCATTTTACTCTCCAATGACATTCCTGTTAAAACCCAGGAAACTCCTAGTGATAGCACAACTACTATTATAACTATACACAGTATGGCCCCAAAATTAACATCAATGAAAAATTCTGAAAATATGCTCCCTTTGTTTGTGGTACTGAATTTTTGCTTCAAGTCAGTTTTTGATAAAGTCCTTTTTGTAGGCTTGGTATCATTTTGAAGCTCTATAAATAATTGAAGAACATCCGTTGACACACCCCTCCTTTTTGCCATCTCCAGAGGTGAAAGGCCATTGTGATTTCTGTAACAGAAAGGTGGACTTTAACACAGATATATACAGATGTATAATGCAGTATGAAAATAAGTTTTTTAAAATAACAAGCAACTGGTGATTGTACAGACTGTTATCAATTCATTTCAAGCATTTTGATGGGCATTTTCAATTCTGCAAAGAAGTACCAGTCTACTACATGAACTATACGGTGTAGGATAAAAAAGAGGCAAAAAAGGGGGGACTGGCATTTGGCAATATTACAGGAAAATTCTTTTCAGTCTGAAACAGATACTACAGTAGTACACAACTGTACACATGCGTTTACAGTATATAAATATGAAAATATATAGGCATGGTGCTTCAATACAGATTTGAATGGCTAATGTTTTTTTAATATAAAAACTATACAATGCAAAAATAGAACTACATGTATAATAGTACATGTACAACGAGTACATTGTAAGTAGTACTAGTACCCCAGTACTGATAATTAAAATCTAACAAGGACAGTAATACTATATACCCCTTCTTAAGATCGCCTCCATATCTCACTAATAACTTAAGCGTCTCTGCGTGGCCACAGTGATGTAAGGGAGTATTTCCAGCTCTGTCACTGGCGTTAACATCAGCTCCATTTTCTAGCAAAACTTGAACACTTTCTGTCTGGCCGCGAGTTGTAGCAATTTGCAAAGCCGTCCTTCCGGAGACATCCCGTTCATTGATGTCACAGCCTGATTTAATAAGTTCTTTCGCTATGTCTGCATTACCACAACGTGAAAATAAACAGTCCCATTCTGGTTTGGACATGATCTTAATCTGAATGCCGTTAGTGGTAATTACATGTTTTGATATGCGTCTGCTTCATCCGGAAACATTGTTGTGATATCATCGCTTAGTGTTTCTTAAAATAAAAAAGAAGGCATCGTTAAACTGACCTTTAACAGCATGCTATGTTCAGTTATTACACGCAATATATTTCTATAAGTCATTATCATGGATTACACTCGCTAACAATAGCTTGAAAGAACCATCATATCAGTTTAGTTAAAAAATTACTTAAGGGACTTAAACGATAGAGAGCATTCTTCCTGTGGAGAATGATAACTTGGTAACCTTGTAAGCATGGCGAAAGTGGTGAAGAAGTTGCAAGACAATTGGAAAAAACTTGTTTTATTTTCAGGCGCGAGTGCTTATGGTGTAAAATATGCAACCAACAAATACGAGTAAGTTAAAAGAGTCTGTAAATCATTTGTATATATACTGAAGACCTACCAGTTGTTCAAAGCGTCGCTCGTAAGTTGAGGTCCAACTCGAACTCGCTGTTAGTTACACTGTAACCAGAAGCAAAAGGTTTGCGTATCGTCATCTCAATTTTTGAAGGGGCGTGGGCGACACAAGCGGCTTAGATTGGGGGACTTGGTAGCATACGTTGAGATACACAGTTTGTGAATTATAGTGGAACAGTGTAGAAAAATCGGGTATTCTCATCATAATAGTAGCAATTTCACTTGTTTTGTCCTGAAAATTTTCAGCAAGGATGTCAGGGTATTTAGGCAACTCAGTTCATGTCACACTCTAATTGTTAAAAATTAAATGAATGACAGCTTTTTCATTAACTATATAATCAGTGTGTGAACTTGATGCTAATTATAATAATAAATTTTTTTTATGGTTGCATGAATCAGTGCACTCGGTAGGATTTTTCTAAGGGAGTACCGTACCCCTTGCCCAAAAAAAGAAGGGGTAATTTTCAAAATGAAGGGGTAAAATTAAAAAATGCTCATCAAGGTGTAATTTTGTGCATTAATAATCATGCAATCACACAGTTCACTTTCATAACAATAACCCACTATCCTTTTATCCAAAATCTTTTATTACTGCAATTTAACAAAAAGAAAACAAAAACAAAATGGACAGGTCACGCATAGGTCACGACTAGATACTGTGTTTCTTTGACTAGAGTAAAAGTAACTGGTGCTACCTAGTAAATGTAACAAAAGGAAAACATTCCTCTTTTGGCTTGAAAACAAAAATCTCAAAATAAATATAATAATAACAATCTCAAAATAAAAGATCTCAAGATAAAAAACCAAAATACAACAAGTACGACTGCACTTCATAGCCAAAAATTTACAATCTATTCTTGACTGAGATTTAAAAATGCTCCTNCGAATCGCAAACGATCTCCCGCTGATGATCTTACGCGAACGGAGTCCGCTACAAATATGAAAATTATCTTCTCGTCTCGTTTGGATCGCGAACGATCTGTTGACGATATTACGCGAACGATTCTCCGCTGAAGATATGAAAATTACCATCTCGTCCCAACCGCATTGCGAACGATCTCCATGTACGAGCCAGGTAATCGTTAAATGGTCCTAAATTGAACATGGCCATGAATAGAAGTGACGGGTACATTTCCCTTCGAGATAATATCTTGGTTTTTTCATTGTGTCTTCCTCATTTAGGACAGCCGCCGATAACAATAACGGCGTTATGTACAAATGACAGAGCCGCGGCCTGTGACTTCTATTTGCCGCCTTGAGCCAGGTAATAGTAATAAAACTAAAGACAAAAGGCCGACGTTCCCGCAACTGAGAACGGGAATTCACATCTAAACCATCTATATTGTGAATGACCGCTCGCAGGGGCGCACTATTGTTCCTATCTCCCATTGAGAGTGTTATCGGCAATGAAATCCTGATCGTATCATTGTCTTGAATCAACTGACGCATTACCTTTATGTTTGAGCTGGACAACGCGGCCATATTTGGCGACGAACTTTTTAAAAATTATCGAGTACCTCATTTTCAAGGTCGACGAAGTTTTCAAAGGGAAAAAAATTACGTCTGCGGAAAATCGTCGGCCGACGAAATTTTCAAGACTTTACCGTATGAATTACTGAATCAGATGTATTTGAAAGTGTTAGTTTATTACAGCAGACATAAAAATATGAAACAGTAAATTTTTGATAAGTATAGGGTTGAGATCAGTCTGATGCCAATGTGTTGGACTTGGGGTATTTGTTATTGTTGTACAAACCAAATAGCAAGTTTCTATCAAGATTAATTCATTTAGAAAATTTACCAACAAGTAGTTATTTCTTAACACTAAATACCTTGATACCTATGTATTTTAACAAAACATGGCAGAATTTTATATTTGATATACTTATTATTCTTGTGCATTGTAGTAAAAGATTATTCCAACATCATCAATGAAGATTGCGGGGTGGAGCACAAACTAGATGTCAACACATCAGAGTTGACAGTTTTATCTAGCAATTTACTAGAAAAACAAGTATGTGTGACTGCAATTCAATCAAAACTTACAGATCTCTTAAGGGAAAGCTTTATGGAAAAGTATTAAAAACGTCATCAATATTTGTATTTGTGGGATATTTTATACAGTTAATTTGCCACATAATATTGTGTCTTAAGAGTTTTGTTTGATGTGGTCTGAAATTATTTATGCTAAATAAAGTAGACTTATGTTGAATGTTAAAGTGTCTCTTTCATGGTAAGTTCATGGAAAATTTTAAAATTCCTTTCCATTGACTTTTTGTTTTAGAATCGGCCAGTCTCATGATTTTTATACATTATAGAATTCTGTTTTATTCAATAATTTTGTTCCATTTTTTTCATGCTTCACATTTCATATAATTTTCTTCAATGACTTAATCTAACCTGTTTTGTCAAAAATTAAAATGAATGTGAAAGAAAAAATCCTTGAATTGTCTCAGTGTTTTTTCTTTCTGATATTTGACTCAGTTGAGCTAAGCAAAAAGTGGTTGCTGCATCATTTTTTAGTAAACAAAACAATTTTGCTTTGATTTCTAGACTCCAAAAGGCATGGAAATATCAATAGGACCAGATAACCTTACCAAAACGGACTTCATTAAAGAGGGGTAAGAATTCTAAAGAAATATATTTTTTTGAAAAGCATCATACAGTCACAAATTGTTACTGCAATGTCAAATTTTGGTTGTACATTTATTAAAAAATTCTTTACTGCTTGTGTTGAATAAATTCAGTGAATATTTAGACATAAGAAAATATGAGAGCTTACATATACTATAGCAAATACTGTATGTGGGCTGTGAAAATGTTTGAATGAATTTTTATTTACTTTTATTTATGAAACGGTCTTTTACATATAGACTCCAAATGAAAAATTTTTATTTCATTTAAAAAGAATATGAATGGGGAAGTGAAATGAAAAAATTGTTTTTGTTTGTTTTACATTATAATGTGAAACTTGTAATTCTAGGTGGCGGAGACAAGGAGAAAATCAACCTCACAGGGGTGCTAAAAGTGATGAACGTTTTAAAATTTTTACTTCAGGGGAATTTACACTGTCTCCAGAACTTCCAGAGGTAACACAGTTACTTTCTAAGTATTATCACCCAAAACTGATTTCAGAAATAACGGTGTCCTTCAAGAGTAATGTTTCTGGTGTGTTTCTGGTCCTCTGCTACCACATCAGCACATACGATTTCCCCACTTGGATAGGATTTATTTTAGCATTAAAGATGTTTAGTAATATGTTACTGCTTTTTGTCAGTTCGGAAAAATGTCAGTTCAACTAATGAAAAGTTTTCATTTTTGTAAACCATGTTTTTACATATAATGTTAAAGTAAAACATGTCTTTAAATCTTGTTTTGACTAACCGAATCCAAAATTGATTGAAGATTTCATGGAGGGCTTTTATTGAATCCAGTGTTTGCATGCAATATTTTCATGCACGTGAGAGACAAATGAGTTTCTAATATTTGTCTCATAATGTCAGTGACTAATCTCTTTTTTTTTTTTTTTTCAGGGACAAGAAAACTGGTTCTCAATAGACATGGAACAATTTGAGGCAATGCCAATTAAAGTTAAGCTAAAGAAGGACATTATCAATGTTTTCCACAGACAAAGTACAACAGAACCTGCACTCTCATCTTCATAAAAATAGGATGCATATCTATATTACCAGTAGCATTTGAGTTTCCCATGTTTCGCCTGGCGTCCCTTCCCACCATCAGTTTTAGGGATTGTGTGTCTAACAATTCAGTCATCATGACAAATTTTCATTAAATTCAAACAAATTGACAGTGTTTTGTTAGTGAAAACAAAAAGGTGTTCATTCAAAAGTTTTGAAAAATTACATGACTACTAATACATTTTATGAATAAAAATATTATCGCTATTGGAAAAGTCTGACATAAGAATGACTGCGATGTTTGAAAATTTAAAGGGAAATCGAAGCATTCTACTTTCACTGGACATACATGAAAACACCATCTAGAGAGTCTGAAATAACTGTTTCCTGAATACCTCTTCATTTATATACTGGTATGCATGCATCAACTTAAGTATATGAAAAGAAAAATGAAACATGGAAAATATGGGGAAAATGATACTACACATTGAATAAAGAAATTCAAATGTTTTAAAGATGTTGTTATTACTTAGTTTTTTATTGTTATTTTAATTTGGCAGATGCGTACAAAGAAAACCACTTTCTAGGTTATCGAACAGATCAATACATGGGTTTTCGATTTGCTTTCTGAGACATTTCTTAAGTACAATGCTCTTTTCTAGGTTTCTGGACAGAGCTAAACAGGCATCGAGTCCGCAAGGTCCATTTATCAGGTGCAATGCACCGCTAACACAATGTCGTTGTTAATAAAAACAAATACTTTTGAAAACAATATATTCCTGATTTCTTCACCAACGATTGAAACGTAATACAGCTGGAATATGCTGAATTATTCTTATTAATATGATCGGGACCTGAATTATATTTGATGACAACTATTTCATATCTTCTCAGCAGGACGCGTCACATCCTACCGTGGGTATGTATTTGCCTTATTGATTGGGTTTGTGGTGGCTGTTCAAACTGGCTCGATATCTGTTCAGTGTTCAAAGTGAAAAGCTATAACAAGTGTAGCATAAAATGTATTTATTGGGATTTACTCTGTTGTGCTGATAGAAAATTATTAAGCATAAGTGTTTTTTTGTAAGCTTCGTTTAACAATAAAAGCAGTGATCGATCCAAAGAATATCTACTTGACCTCTCTAGAATGAATCGCTAATATGGGATCGACTATTTTAATGTATGTTGACACTTCTTAAAAAATCTTAACACTTACCTTTAAAAGTTTAGATTTGTGTTGGAACATTTGAAAATATGAAACAATTCTTATGTCGACATATTTTGACGCAGATGTAAAATCACACTAACAAGTCACATCTAGCACTGGCAGTTCTGGAGAAGCGAAGTCTGTGATTGACTGATTGAAACCTAAACTAAACTAGTTAAACGTTTTCTTATTAAATTACATAACGCATATTGATGCTGTATCGGTGCAACTAACGTGTATTGACGGTGCATAAATGAATGACCATATGTTGGGTTCTCATTGGAAAACACAGAAAGCACGACAATGTGCACGAGTAGGTAGAAATTAAGAACGTTTACCTTTTAAGAGTATGTAGTCGCATAGCACATTTTACATCGATTTTATATGAAGAAAGTATGCTGTTTCAGACAGACACATGGCCAGTGTTTAGAGGTGCACGTCAAGGCACGTGGTAACATGTGATCAAGATCTACGTAGATGGGGATCGTCGAAATACTGAAGGTCTCGTGATTCTCGTCTGATAATCTGACTGATGGAACATCACACTTTAGCTGCAAAGAATGCTCGTCTCACATATTGCTTCCTGGGGTCTAGGAGTCGTAGAATCAAGAATAACCTGTACGGTTTATGTACAATGAATAAGGGCCTATTTAATAGTCATTGCGTGACGCTTTCAAATAAAGTTCCTACTCAATACAATGGGACTAGTTATGCCGCCGACTTGTCCTTGGTGATAAGGTGCATTTTGACTGCGGCGTTCATGTTAGCAGGCATATGTACGTATTCCCATACTGGTCTTCATCGCAGGCTGACGCTCTTAATTCAGTGGTCGGAATTAGTCGGGCTCCATACGACTCAGGTGTGAATAGGAACATTAATCGACCAAAATGTCAGATATGTGTTGTTCTTAACCTCGTTAGCGGGCAGAGCAAGTGTAATACGTTTGGGAGTTAGCGCTTCTAAAACGCAAGCGAGAAACTACTCACCAGGGCAGTGAAACCAACCCTGCATAGGATATCTATTTATTTCAGGTGGATTCATAATAGCGAGAGCGGGGATATCCATGCTGCATCAAGAACGGACTGGGTTGAGATTCACGCTTTATTCTCTGCAACAGAAACAGCTGCAGACACAGCTATTTTAGCCTGTCTTTTATTCTTGGAGAAGATGGCGAAACGAATTGTGTCAGCCTGTATGGGTTAACTCAGGTTGGAATCAAAAGGACATTTAAAGCATGTCTTAATGACAGAATAAGAATCACCCGCTTTAATTTGCGTGGACCAAGATTAATAAGGCCGTGCACATAACAATCGACAATCGTTCGAACCGGATTGAACACACTCGCAGAGCATGGCGACTTGTTTTACTTGCGGATTGAAGGGGAGGAATTTAGTATTCACTGCCCTGTTTTGCATTTCAGCCTTTGGTCTAACTACCTATTTGGGCTTTAATGGTAAGATTAATGTATCTAGCAAAAGTTGTGGGTTTTACACAGGCCTATTTCGGTTTAATAGCCGGAACGTTATGTACTGCGCTGCGTTTTCAAGTTAATTTTAATGTGCTTTAGACATACCTTTTAAGTTTTTAACTCAAAAGGCGAACTTATGGGAAAAGATAAAACATTCACTGAATTTGAAGTTAAGGAACATGCAACAAACGATGAGTCTTAAGATAAAGAGAGAGGGAGAGAGAGTTCACTCATTTCACAGTGGGGGTAGGGTGCAGTTTTTAAGACGAAAAGTGTACTATGCAGACTGACAACGACTTTAAATATCTACATGGAATTCTCGATTTAATAATAAACGTGGCGCTTTATGACTAAAAACATTTTAATTTACACTTCACTGCATACAACATTAAGAGAGAGACATGAATGTCTGACACAAGACGACGTTTTTTATCTTCTTACCGATTTTACATGCACTGTTCGCTTCGTTATTGCTTTATTACCTAGATGAGAGAGGTTTATATGAGTTTGGAAGTATAAAACTGCTCTCCATGGAAGAAAACGCTATCATTGTGAAAACAATTTCTTCCTCTTAATAATGATATTTATCGTATTTATTTATCTTAATTTATGCAGAGCTTATTCAAAGCACCCTCATTATAAATTGTAAAGACTTGACCTTTAATGCGTAATGTTTTTTTTCAAAAGCATATTTATGAAAACAAAGATTTTGTTGGTTTTTAAACGTTTGATTAATTGGGATTTTGAGTTTGAAAGTCGCTTGAGAGATGGTCGGTCACATATTTTTTTAAAGTAAAGGCTTGACTGCCAGAAAAATTGAAAATTTTTTATTTTAATTTTTCTACCCATATTCACGATATAGGTTCTTTCTGATAAGTGTGAAAGGAGAAGGTGGGACGTGTGCTCAGCTGGAAACTTGTTTTATAAATCCTTGTCCCGTTCACTTTTCAGGACAATTCCAACATCGTCGAATGCATTTTATATTTCGAGAACATAAACCCATGCACCATCAGTTTGGTTTGGAGAACCCGGGGGGAAATGGACAGAAATTAACATTAAATCTTGAGAAACCGCCATCAGATCTGGAGACTTATCGATTTCCGGCTGGTCTGTCAGAGGGGATGAAGAAGAGCATAGAGAAAAGTGTTCGTTGGATGACAGGTTTGAAGGTAAAGTGCACATGGTGGCATCCACTTACTCTGAAAGCAGAATAAACTTCGCTTATCTCATTATGATCGACTCAGATCAAATTGAATACATGGACAATATGTTTCAAAAGTATTCACTTCATATTTATATTACCTTGGGTTGAACCCGAATGAATAGATATTTTCGATTTTAAAAACACCATCTGTGAAAATGTTCAAACATTTTTAATACTTCCTGTCATGAGAATTTTTAATTTGGAAGATAACATTAAATTTTACGATGCTAGTACACACAGTAAAATATAAAGGTACCCAGAAGTGGTCGATATTTTGGTAGCATCATGTCTATATACAAGGTGCATTTGAAGTTGGTCGGATGTTCAGATCAGCAAGTCGTCAGCTCAGCATAGACCCATTTTCATTAAACTGCACCCCGTACGTTGACTCGGTTTGTCTCCTGCTTGACTGGCTCTCGTCTGACTGTTGACGTCAAGCCAAACAGTCACATTCATTTATTTATTTATTTATTTATTTATTTATTTATTTATTTATTTATTTATTTTCTTGTTAAACAGACGGACTCTAGAGTTTCCCACAAAACATTTAATTTAGATATATTTTTTAACTTATACGTATATATTTACGTATACGTGTATATTTATCATATACTCATTTGTTTTTATGTATGAAATGCATTCTAGGAACCACCAAAATTCCTTCCCGAATACAAAAACCCGTGTTGGTACGAAGACTTCGATCCTTTAATTGGAAAAGGGAAAATATACAGAGACAACTGGTACGGAAGGTTCCATCCTTACGCTAAGAAAAACAGTAACGCTTTTAAGTCGTGGGAATTCAATTTGTATTCCTGGTGGTCTCAAAACAAAAAACGGTTACGGTGCATACCATATTTCTACCTGGCAGGAATTGCCAAGTGCGGAACAACGGACCTGTTTCAGCGGATCCTGAGTCATCCTGACGTCGCCGATGGTTTGCTGAAGATGTCACAGTGGTGGGGGAGATTAGCATATAATACCGCAGGTAATACGACATCTTATAGAGCCCAAGTTACTTTTTGCCTGGGCAATTCGTCCAAGTAGTCACTGTAAGACTGAGAGTTGGACGAAGGGGGTAGGGAATGGATCGGAGACAGGTTGATAAATTCATCACCACTACCAAAGCCATTTTGAATATTGAGATATGATTAACAGCCCATGCCAGTGAGTCCCTTTTTAATCTTGTTTGTATTTATCTATTTGTTGGCATCATTAGCGTCTGAAAGGTTTTCGTAGAAAATTGTGCCATTTATTTTGCAACACATTTGAATTCAGTATTATAATTATTATTAACTGCAACATAAACTTTTCACAATATTTTTGTAAGAGTATGCTGTACTCTTAATTAATATATACTTCCTCTCCCCCTTTTAGCAGGCAACGGGAGTGGAGTGCCATTCATAGACTTTGTGGACCTCTTTGATTACCCTGCAAGAGTGATCGAAAAATATACCTGTACAACTTGTCCAAAGCTGCACCATCAAATAGTCGGTAAGTTAAATATAATTTACACACCCTGAGTAGAGGGGTTATCTTTGTGATAGGCATACTATTCAGTTGCCAGTTATGGTTACTGTCAGCTAGTACACTGAAAACCAGGGTATGAGTCAAAGCGATAAATACACCTCATGTGTACGTCAGCTGGGTATTACGGAATTTTTAGAAAACTTTGGTTCATGAATAATACATATTTACATTAAGCTTTTGCACCTGGCATTATTATTTTGTAATTCAAGCAAATGGGACCCAAACGTTAGTTACTTATCATTTGTGAAAATTGATCTAAACATTATCAAAGTCCATCATTAAGCTGTCACGAAGTATGGCGGCGTTCACCTGCACACAGCATGTAACAGATCACAATGTTATGGAAAGCTGCGACTAATTCCCTTCTCGTTTCACAGGTGCGAGAAAATGAGACGCAGTTGAAATATTACCTGCTGTACTGTTACGTAGTTAAATGTAGAGAGAAGGTGTGTGGGGGGGGGGGGCACTACGCTTAAATAGCCAGTGCTTTTCATCTTCCTCGACTTAAAAGATATGCACGCGCAAGCACGTGTGTGTGTGGGGGGGGGGGGGGGGGGATGGGGGGATAGGGTTCTGGAGACCAGGATCAGAGGATGAAATTTAATGTCCTGTCCCTTTTTATGCCTTGTTACATGCCGCAAACCTGAAACAAGAAACCCTGACCTACAACGCTGCCATGGTCAATGCTTTTCATCTGCCTCGTCTTAAAAGTTGTTATTATTTCCCGAATTATTATGTCACTGACCTCGACTCCTGTTTACCTTAGTTACGGCATAAATTTCTATTTTGTGGTGGCGTGTGTCAATATTATTTCCACAAATAATACTAATGCTAGATAACAGATATCGATAAGCAAGAAATGGGTCGCGTGTTCCTAAAATTTCGGAGTTCCCTACTGTAGCCAATTTGCTATAAGCTACCCTAAATGTCAGGTTCGATGCGTTTCAGTTTTTTATTATTCTTTTTATATAGGCCTGTGTCAATCTTCATGCACGCAAGCAGGCATATGTAACAACTGTGCAAATAAAAATTCTGATGGCCTTTGGATCATAGCCTCAGGCTTTCATAGGCTGAAATGGTGAGAAAACACGCAAACGCAAGACTTGTCGACGGTTCTTTGAAATTCTGGGTGTTTGCTTTGACCTTAAATTTATATAGTGATTTAGATTGACTCCTGGATAGACAAGAATAACTGGAACATGATAAAAAGTTATTGCTAGATGCTTTGTGAATGTGAATTCCGAGTTGACTTTGGAATAGAGGAAGATCGCTTGAGTTTCTTGTGAGTTGCTTGTGCCACCCTTTCAGTTACTTACTAATTTCCAACACTTGAACTCGGGTAAAGTATTATGTTCTAAAACACAAATTTTGTTACTGGAAAATATGTTTAAATAAACCAGAAAATGCTGCAACACATTTAGTGTTTGTTGCTAAGATTCTCCACGAACTGGAACATTTTCCTTTGTACTTTGTCCCATGATGGTTGTGTTTGATGCGCCGACAGCAAGGGAAACAATTGTGAATAGACCCATCAAACACACTCTCTCGAACTTTTTCATAAATTGCGTTCTTCATTTTTATTTTCTACTTTCACAATTTGGGAAACCATCTGGAATATAACGGATACCTACACGTGATTCTGTTTTCTTATTATCAAAATGCTTAAACCAAATTCTTTGACCTATTATATGAATAATGTTTTGACAATAAAACAGAAGTAAAAGAAAGTCCTCTTTTTCGAGAATGGACAAGATAAGTTATATCTGGATTTTGAACACACTGTCCACAATTTCATATATCTCCAATTTTCTAGATTCAAATAACAGTTATAAATAAATAAAGTTAACCTATCATGGTGTGAATATTTCAGGTGATTACAGCACCAATACTTTGTTTGATAACGACTACTGGATCCGATTGTTGGGCAACAATCCCCAGCTTCACGAGCCAAACATAACCACAGCGCATTACATACGCTACTTTCAACCAGGGGCCAAAATTTTGGCCATATTTAGGGAACCGACTGAGAGGTGAGATTCCATGGAGTTATAAACGAATTTTTGCTTGCCACTAATCTGAGCTGGCCGATTCACAATAAACACCAACAAAATTTTTTTTGGTAACTTCAGCATTTTTTCTCTTTATCACAAAAGCATACCATACATCCAAAACAGTTCAAAAAGTTACGATCCTTAAAAACTTCTCCAGTTCTAAGTTTCTAGATTGTACTCTAGACTCTGTTTACATGTAGGTCGAACTACATATATATTTTCTTGAGAATAGGCCTACATTGAGAGCACAGTCGGTTATAGTCTTTGTAGCTTTGGTGATCGCATTAAAATTTACGTGAATTTTTTTAAAAAGTGAATACCTTTCTTACAGAAATTAAGAAACCTCAAATATGTTGACATTCCTTTTAATTTTAAAGTAAATCCCTACGCATTCTTCTGTTCCAGGCTATACTCAGATTATCTTTTCTTCTACAAAGGCGTGAAATCCCCAGAGAGATTCCACTCGCTGGCGAAGCAAGCTGTAGAATTGTTTGACAACTGCACCAAAACCTTCTCTGTGAGAAGCTGTGCTTACAATCGAACTCTTCACTCTCAGGAGGCTTTACGGGTAAGTTGCAGGGTATCTTGAAATTTGATTTTTCTATCTAAATTATCGAAATTGATAGACTTTATATTTAGGGACGGTTGGAATTCTTATACAATACCCAGATTTTCTGGGTTCCAAAGGTGACTTCCTCTAAACCAGCACAGCACCAGAGACAGTGGTTGGCCCCTCAGATATGGGGGGCGCATAAGCTTTTGCATGGAAAACTTATTTCCTCTAAAAATATGGGGGTGAAGGCTGAAGGTTTACTTTAAATTAATTAAAAAACCAAGATACTTCACTTGATTGCTATTTAAACGCCAGCAGAAAAATCCAACAGTAGACCTACGACTAAATAATTTAAACAGAATGAACAAATCAAGTAAAGAGCAAAGTTTTCCTTGTACACATAATAATAAAGCATTACTACAAAGGCTCTCCCACTTGCTTCTTTGGCTTGGCACGAGGAATGTTTCTGGCTCCCAAAAGGGTAGTCAAACTCACAACTTCCTCCTCCTCCTCCTCCTTCTCCCACTCCTACTACAAACCGGGTGCTAATGAGTTTTGTTTTCATTGTTACAGATTGTTCGCCTCCGTGTTGGGTTATATCATGTGTACGTGAACGACTACCTGAGGGTGTTCCCGCGTGACCAGCTTTTATTCCTAAGGCTGGAAGATTACCATAACAACATGAATGAATCCTTAAACAGAGTTTACAATTTTCTGGGCCTACGTAAGTAGACGGAGATAAATTAATGCAATTACCACGCTTCCAATGCATCTGAAACATTTATTATATTTATATCATTAAATGAAGAATCATGACAATATATAATTGTTTTATGTTCAAAAGTTCTGTTCCCCGGGGCACATCCAAGCCCTACTGATGAGCAGGAGACATTACATGATCAATTCCCTACCCTCTTCAAGGACCGCAGATTGAGTATATGAACTTTTCTCCAACACGTGGAGAAGAGTAGTATGAATTAACCATAGACATATCTGTGAAGATCTAGTGAAAAATCAATCGGTGGCTCTGGTAAAGGGTATCAGTATTCCCATGTGCTGCCAAGTCTTTCGTAGCCAGAAACCTTAGCCGAAACCGTAGCTCTACCTTTCACGTTTCCACGCTTTATATTTTTACATTATTTCCTTTTCTAAGTCACACACCATGTGATTTTTTATATTTTTTATATTTCGCATTTTCTTTCATAATCTTAGACAGTTCTCACTAGAAATCTAAGTCTCTTAATTCCAGCAAAGTCTTTGATTACGTTCAAAAGCTGTTATTCACGTATTATACGTAACAATCTGTAATAATATATTTTTTCAGGTGATCTGAATGCGAGAGAAGAGTACAAAGTGTTAAGAAAAGGGGCGGTGAATTCTCGGTCAAAAAACAACACTAAAATCGGTGACGCCTTGGAGCGTACGAAGATTCTTCTTAGAAACTTTTATGCAAAGCATAACGATCTCCTGGCAGAGGCCTTGGGGGATGATGGGTTCAAATGGCATGCAAATGAAATAAAACAGCCAGCTGATAACGGACCAGAGAAAATAGCCAGTTGATGACCGACCAATTGTGAAGTAGCCAGTAAAACTACTTATACCCCCTTTACACTGGACGGCGTCCTTTCTGCGTCCTTTCTGCGACCATGAAATTTGGCATCGCTGTGGTCTTAATACAGAGACACGAGCATTGATTTTGTATCAGAATGAATGCTCAATGTTCGGCCAGTTGTCGGCACGTAAAATATTATAATTTCTTAACTCTCAAATAGGGCCGTACTGTTGGACGCAGAAAGGACGCCATCCAGTGTAAAGGGGGCTTTAGTACACGCATACGTTTGCCATAAGTCAGGACCAAATGTCGTGTATCCAAAACAAACAATTCCTGTGAAATATTGGCAAAACCATTCCACAACTGTCCTAAAATACTTTCATATTCATTTATATTTGAGAATATTTCTCGTTTTGGTTGTTTTTCAAATATTGATTGCATTTTGCAATTCTACTTAAATATCTGTTTTAAGGTAGTATGTAACCCTTATACATGTATCACATAATGATACAGTTATACAAAACATTCAAACAGTCCACAAAAAAAGTGATTCTCTGAGTTACGTCAACGATGACTTTTTGTGTATTATGTACGTGACAGTTTCATAACGATTAGTAATAAGTTGGTTTCTTTTCATGTTGGAGGGTACTTTACTCAAGGAGTTTTAACCAAAAACACCTTGCTATAATGTAAAACAGAGAAATAATGGGCAAAATCAGAGTTATGCAGGTATTACACAAAATGTCCGTGTCGTGCACGACTCAGATAATTTTTTTTATTTATTTATTTATTTATTTATTTATTTATTTATTTATTTATTTATTGTAGTGACCTAAAAAGGATCCACATTGGATCGGGCTACTGTAATTTTATGATGTTCCCACGACGCGGGGCTGCCAACTATACGCATTCAACAGTAATATTCTCATTTATTCTTTGATTTATGCTGTTTTCACGCATGAAATTATTCTTGATAAAATAATATAAAATAATAAACAAAGTTTTTATTTCAGAATTGCGGTGTTGTTATTGTCTATCAGTTTTCGTATAATTTTTAATGGAATGGAGATCAGTTTTTACGTAGAATCAAGGGAGATTTCGGGGAGTTATGGTCAGAAATAATGGCAGACTAGCTAGCAACACATGAAAGCTGACAGAATTTATCCACGGGTTTGTTTTCTGGTTGTTTCTGAGTTACTGTTGTATTGACGACATTGCCAGTGCACAGAGTTTCACTCTAGTCACTAAAAAGTTCCTTCCACCTCAGATTCTTGCACGTTTTCTAGTCTCGTATGACGTCACGTAGTGCCGACAGCCTCGTTCTGAACTCTTTCGAATTTCCCCATTCACCATTACTACATGTACAAGTGAATTAACGACCGTTTTATTTTTTTCTTTTATTTATTTTTTAATGATCACAGGTGTTCAAACAGATAAAAGGGTGCTCAGTCCTGCTTAACAGCAAAACACGTTATATTCGCGAGAAAAGATTCTATAGAACAAGTTTTTTTGGATGCTACATTAAATCAATGAGCTATATACTGTAACCCGTATATACTGTAGCTCATTAGTTCAATGTACTTCAAGTACACCGTCATGATTTTTGCAGCACCTTAATTCCAAATTGCGTGAAAAGTATATTCCAATCTATACTGTAGTATGCATAAGCGGAAGATCCCGTGAGGGCAAAGAGAAAACAAAAAACTAACACATACATGCATATACACACGCACGCACACATACAAACACATTGCTTGTTTACGTCTGTGGTATGTATGATTATAAGTGGCATATTCGAACCAACGTAAAATAAATAATATAATATGAATATGAAAATAAATACAATATCCTAATATCCGTCTGTGTATGATTAGACTCTTCTGAATGATGTAATAAAAGAACGCTGACATCTCCCCCTTTTAAAACTTGTTAAGTAATTGTCCCGTATTGGCTCGTTTGTCAACTGGGTATTTCTAAAAATGAGTTAATAAACCGCAGATGAAACCTTTTACGGCAGACAATATTATTAACCTACAACAATATTTTGAGAGCTATCAGCCATCTTCATATATATATATATATATATATATATATATATATATATATATATATATATATATATATATATATATATATATGTAGCTCAGCCCCTGATGAATCCACGAAGAGTCTTCCCATAACTCAACGCTAATGGCCATTTGATGGGAACCAATATTTGTTCAGATCCACTACCAGTCTAACCCTTCTTTGTGCAATGACAAGCGGGGACTATTTTCGGAGTAGAACTGTGAAAACCATCGACGATATCTTGCAATACGCTCGTCTGCCCGAGATTTCACGAGGAGTGGCTTATTTTCGAATTTCTTGTTGTTCCAAATCATAATGTCGCGTTCAACCTAAAAGGGAATAACCAAACATTAGTCTTTTGTCTTTGTCATTAGCCTGTATATTTCGTCACTCGATAAAACTATTAAAGACTATTGTTAGACAGTATCTTTAAATACTGAATCAAAGCTGAAAAAAGCATCTACTAGACCATTGTGTGTCCTGCACTTTTTTCATTGTCAATTTTTTATTTTAAAGAGAGAGAGAGAGAGAGAGAGAGAGAGAGAGAGTCCATAGCATCTGTTAAAAGCCAAGGCTTTTCTAAACGTTTCACCTGGTATGCCTCTCCCAGAAGAAACGCACTGGCTACAGGCATTGGCATCCATCTGCTGGCAAAGAGCGTGTGCGTCAGTTTCTGTACCAAAGGCTCTATTGGTGTCAGGGTCTGTATGTAAACTCCGTAAAAACACGCAGCTTGAAATTCTAAGTAAACCAAGCCAGGTCCAATCTAGAAATTATATATATATATATATATATATATATATATATATATATATATATATATATATATATATATATATGGTATATCTTGTATATAAAATACTTCATTATTGAGATAAGCAACACAATAACGAAATATATGTAAATCACAATATATTCCAGCAGGGAGAAAGGAAATCAACTGGGAAAGATGGACGGATCGACCACTCAAAGCCCCCCCCCCCCCTCCCCCCGATTGTTGGAAACACCCTAAAACATGTTATCTTTATCAAACATTCACTTTAGACTGATTTGGGAAAAATGCTCGTGGGGTGCCCCTTACATATTGGTAATGCAGTGGCCATATTGGTCATCTAGTGGAGTCTTGCGTATGTGCATGTATGTATTGTGCGTGCTTGCGCGTGCATTTGTGTCTGACTCTTTATCTTTACAAGCTTGAGTAAATAGAACGCGCCGACGTCCATAATATATAATTTCGCCTTTACACAGAAAAAGGTCAAGATCAAATGCCAGTTTTTACAACAAAGGCCACAATATGACTGTGTCCTACCTGTCTGGCGTTGACTCTCATCTCCAACCCTGGTAGTTTACGGTCTAATATGGACAGTTTGTGGCCGAGTTCGAGGCATGCGATGTGGGTATTGGGTTCGGGTAATGGCTGCCATTCCGCCTGCCAGTTGTGTTTAGCAAACTCCCATAGTTTACTGTACATATACCGCAAGTCGACGCCACTCAATATGCAGGGACCGTGGACCTGTGCAAGGTGCATCTGATCGGCACCGTTCTCAGGAATGTCCTGTAAAGAGTTTGTTATATTATGATCAATTTCAATATATAGTATTAAACGCATATTTCTGTATATATGTACACTGTATCTTTATATTCAACTTTGGCAAATTTGCAATTCGCTTCTCATAGTTTATAGTTAACTGCCAAGAGGTTAACTGCTGAGTGACATGAATGATTTAAAATTGAGTAATTCTGTTTTGGTCAAAAGAGAATTATTTTCTAATGTCAAACAAAGTTGACCAGATCTTTGGTTTTAACTACGTCTTATTACTGCTTTTTCAACTTACTTGAATATGAGTATTAACAAAATATTGATTTCGTCCTTTGTATACCCAGTGTCCACTCTCGACTTCGTCTATCTCTGGTGGCAGCCAGGTGGGTTCCACGCCCTCGGCATGGTACCACACGAATATATGGCCACTCCTCTCCAGAACAGGCCAAGATTTTACCTTGGCCCTGTCAGGCACTGAAGGTGAGAGAACACATAAATTAAGTTTAATTAATGTTTTAGATGAAGTACACAAAAATATTGATTGCCAGAGTGAGAGCCAGTGAGGAAGAGTCGGGTATGAATAAGAGTCAGATAAAAGACTTGGAGTCAATCAATTCAGATGGATAATGTTATGATATTAACTCTCTCTCTCTCTCTCTCTCTCTCTCTCTCTCTCTCTCTTGATCAAGTGTTTGTGATTAGGTAAATAAGTTTGTAAAAAATCAACCTCACCTTTCTCGCAGTAAGGAATGTGTGTACATTTGCCATCGTCCCCTCGGAATCTCCAGCCGTGAAAGGGGCATTCGATGCAGTCCCCTATCACCCGGCCGCCCACCGCCAAGTTAGCCCCCATGTGAGAGCAGTACGCGTCCACCGCGTGTGCTGATCCGTTCTCGTCTCTAAAAACGGCAAAGTTTTCACCTTAAAAATAAAAAGAAAGAAAAATTGTGCATTCCTGTTTTGGTCATACGGCGAACTTATGAGTAATAAACAACTAACGCGTTGTGCTAGTTGAGATGATGAACCTCATCGTCACCAATGTCGCATTTTATCTTGTGTTTTCCTCGCACTTATATGTTTCGCATTTCGTAAAAAAAAAGTAACGTGTTTCAATGAATGGAGTTCTTTAGATTTCCAAACTCCACAGAAACTTTATTAAATCTGAAGGATTTTTCTCGTTATGTTCTTAGAAAGAGTTAAAGAATATTGTATAAGATCTATATTGTACAGGGACTAAAATAAGTTAATATGCCAAGATAGGCCCTATTCGTTCAACGCATTGATAACTAAAAATAAGATTTTTTTTCTCTTTGCTGTCAAAGTGAAATATAAGTCAGTTGATATTCCGTAAACCGAACATCCAAATGAATATCTTGTTGTGATAGAATCCAACAAGGATTTTTCAGAGAAATGACGTCTTCGCCGAACTGGACATCTGGCGGAGAGTAGGAATCCGTGACAAGGGTCTTGTTTTCAATTGTAATAAACTCCAAAGAAGTCATCTTGAAACACGTGGACACATTCTGCGTGTTTTTGACAATCACGGCGGTGACGTATTTTATGAACACGTGCAAGTAGGCTTCCCGAGCGTTGCTATCAGAACTGCTTATACGACTGTTAGTTTTCAGCCCTGAATCGAGTAAGGCAAAAAAAGTATTTTCCAGCTGTGAAAATAGTCAGTTCATGCTAGGCAAAAGTGATAGCATTGCCTTCCTACTTAATGCGCATATTCGGTTCACATCTTTTTAAAATGAAATATTAAAGGTGAATTAGACGATGTTTACATAAAACGAAAGCCTTTTTTGTGAAGAATTGCTTTTTTATGGTTCAGATATGGCAATTTTAGTGCATTGAGGTTGCACCAGTGCAGATGAAAATTGCAATCGCACACGGCGGTCTATAAATTTGAGAGATAATGAACGGACTAAAGGAAGAGCATGCGCATTAAATATATTGAGTGAACGGAAAAGGTAAAGCTGACACTGAGCATTCAGTTACAAGTATCTAAGCAAAATATAAATCTGTTTTCATGCATTTCACGCCAATAAATCACCGCTTTGCATTTGTTACAAATCGCTTTTTTGAATCCAATATCTAAAACATGAAAACCCACAAAGGAAAGGAAATAAACATTTAGCTTCACCCCGGTGATATTGGATGGCGGTAAACGTGCTTTGTTACATGTTTTAATGTTCGCTCTACTTGCGTTTGCCGCTGGGTAACATTTCATAATAATGGCTCACTAGTACTCACATTCAATCAAACCTTGTCGTTTTCATTGTAGCATATAACCGCATTGGAAAAAAGAGCTAGATTCGGATTGAGAGGTTCAATAAAAATGGCATCTTCATTGATGTTGGGAATTAAATAATCAAGCCCACACACACACATACAGGTGCATAAAAAGGATAATCTGCTATTGAATAAAACCCGGATTAATTCCAAATCCCCCATTGTTAGAGCAGCAGGATTCCCTGCTGTGAATTGGCTGTAAGCAGGCGAAAAGACAGCTTATATCAAAGCCCTTGATATTTCAATAGATCACCGGTTTTTCATTGTAATTTTTGTAACAGTGGTAATAACTGAAATACTCCAGGGNACCAGACCACTTATCCTACAAATTGTAAAAGCACTCCAAGTTAAGTCTACATTTTATCGGATTTTTTTCCTTCGGATTTCTTTTCATTTTAACAAAATATTTGGCACAAACTTGGAACAAACAGTGTATTTTTAAAGTCGCATTAACTTCAGTCTTCTCATTAAAAAGACGCCCTATACAACTTTCAAAGACGAAAAGGCGGATTCAGAGAGAGAAACAGCGAGAAAGAGAGAGAGAGAGAAAGAGAGACTCTTAACATCATAAGCTTACTGTCACATATTATCAACACCAACATTCACAGCCTCATTTTTATCAAATTTCATATAGCATGCTGCTTTTCTACTCCACATAATCTGCATGGGGAAATATCTGTTATTTGTCAGTTGTCCAGGATGTTTTTATTAGGTACGTGACGTCTTTCGGCATAAGAGCCCTCAATTTCAGCGAAAACCATAATCGATTAATATCCCGTTCAGTTGTTTCATAAGCTCGCTCGAGGAAGTAGGTATCACATGGCACTATCAAACATGATATGTTGTCATTACTCAGCATTATATCATACACTGTGGGCTGACAGATGATGAGTTGACGAGACTCGAATTTTCAATATAGATTGCTGCAAAATCAGTTTTAGTGTCAAAGGCCAAGCGGAAGTACGTCATGGCAGTTTTTCCACGGTCGACAACAGTGGCCAGATGGTTCGTGCTGTAGTTTCGCACGGACCAGTAAGAGCACACCTAGTCCCTCCCACAACCTTATGTTATGCTGAGATCTTTTAAGCTATAACAACAGGGCGTTGCGAGTAATTTTAAAGTGGGGTGGAGAGAGAGGGTGGATTTAACTAAATTTAGTCCATGTTTGCAGCAACCATAGATATCGTCTTAGCAAAAAGTTCCTCAATTTTTTTTATTTTGAACTAGAAACTGTTGATACGATTAATGAAACCAGACACACTGACAAGCTACTGTGATACGGTGTTAAATGTGCATGTTATGTAGGCCTATTATCTAAGGCCCTTTGGTGAAAATGCGTTTCTAGAGGGTTATATTTGCTTGGGTATTTTTCGTTCTGATGCAGATAAACACCGTCAACAAAATACAAAATCTTCTTTTTACCACTTTTAAGTGTATCTCCCTTTCCGTTACCCCACCCCCCCCCCACCCCCCCACCCCCGCTCTAATTTATACATTTGCTACCTAAAAATGTTGTTAAACACTTGAAATAAATTTCTCCGTTCGCAACACACGGCCCTTTTCCTGTTATTTTTTAAAAAAGAAAACAAAACAGTGCGTACACCGCTTTTAATGTTGACAAAAACAAATTGTCCTTTACCCGAGGAACTTTAACAATACGAGACAGTCATAAAATTATAGAGCAAATATCGTCATTATTTCAAAGAAATCAATTTTCTGGGAAAGTTTCAATTTTGTGCGCTATTTTAACCACACTTCAACTCGCTTACCCTAAGCATCTGTGTGACAGAAAGTAATCTTAAGTGAAATTATTTTGAGTGGTTAGATTGGAGATCCAGTTATGTTCGTAACCATGGTATTATAAGGTTCGAAATTCAAGCGATAGTCGGTTGAAAGATGAATGTGAAAAAATAATACCGAGAATATACTTTTTGCATCAAAACTCCGTTATGAGATAATATACCTAATGCATGGAACGTGTTAAGGGGAGTTTGCCCCTTGCCCTCCCCCCTAACTCTCTTACCACAGGGTATTAGCAGCTACTTACAAAATCATTGCACGAGTAGCGCACATCCCTTTCAATGTTACAAAATGCAAGTCAAACATGGCCTCACACTTACTCCAGATGCCAAGCTGAGTGGTTGGGGGGGTATATTCCTCTGCAAATGCTTATGGCGTTTGAGTGGAAATACAAATTATATCAGTTCCAGACACTTCAGTTTGCCAAACAGACATATCAAACCCTAATTAAGTTGGCCCCTGGGACCTTCTTAACATCACGATGGAAGCATTATGTTCTTTTACGCGAGCGATCGATGAAAATCTCCGCATTTCACCCCTTGAGACTTCTAGCTTGGACATTCTTCAATACTACTGTTCTTGGAAAATAGACGTTTGCAGAGTACAATATTCTTTCAGTGGTTTAATTGTTCAAATGCCTCTCCATTTCGCCAATTCTTCACACTTCTCATGCTGTTACGGACGGTGTTAAAATGAACGATATTTTATTGGGCTGACAACGAACCAACCCCCCCCCCCCCCCCCCCGCCCTCCCCCCCCCCCCCCCCGTCTCTCTCTCTCTCTCTCTCTCTCTCTCTCTCTCTCTCTCTCTCTCTCTCGCTAACAATTTGTTTGTTACCAAGCAGACTTTCTACCGTAAATAATACATAGTTGTCCCTATTGTTTCGATTCGACACCCACAGCCCTTCCATGTCTTTGAACACAAATACAACAAAACAGTACAGGGTCACCATGACATGGGATAATATTATATCATGAGGTATCGATATAACAACTTAGCAAATCGAATAAAGATTTTTGACATATTATGACTTTGGCTGATTTTTCGATTGTTGGCTCCATATTTCAAACAATACCGACTTTTGTGCTTGTGTAATCATTACGTTGGGAGTATGCAGTAACAATTCAAAGGAACCTAGGGCATTGTGCCATGGTCTGCGCTATGTAACTGTATCGTACGGTTTTACGTATTTTTATATTTTTTTCAGTTGTTTTGCACATGGGTTAAGGTGGTGAAAGGGCTGCGTTCACGTTGACTCTTGCACGTGCAGTTCGTATCACATCATTTAGGCAAGAGAAAAAACGTGACTTCACGTAACAAACAGCAGCTTATGTTTTCCACATAAAAAAGATAAAGAAAAGGCCAAGTCGACGAAAGTGAGGTTGGGAGTAATATGGATTGAATACATGTACGACAACTATGAAGGTAAAAAGATATTCGATCCTATGTGCCTCCCCCTCTCAACCCCCCTCCCCCCCCCCTCAGTTTTTGTTGGTCTGTCCGTGCTGGTATCGACTCCGACTGACAAACATTTCCTAAAACACTACTTATTACTACCAATCTTGTCTTTAATTCAACACTTATCCATGCTATCAATTGTAATTAATGACAAAAATTGTAGAATCTGCTCGGATACTACCATAGCCATCTTTCTGCCCATGAAAAGTGGATATTGGAACAGTCTAATAAAAAAACGTCATATGTTAGAGTCATAACAGAGTCCATTATCTATTTTCACGAAGGTTAAACTCAGAATTATATCGTCTAAATCGTCTTTTTATTTCTCCAGGGTGCTTGAGCGATAATTTAGTGGGAATTCACCACGTCT